AATATTGTAACCTGTTTAACAATTGTCTACTAGTACTCTTTTCTAACTTTACATAACACATAAAGGTCAGTAGTACAAGCTGGAGTGTAAGTTTGTTTTCTTGTCAGTTCTAGCAAGGAGATGTCTGGAGGCAAAATAGACTTATAAAACTGATGTAATTCATTGTGGAAGTGGCTCACATCATTTATGAGCAGCAGGGCTAGAATTTCTAAAGCACTACTTTATGAGAGGAAATGAGTGACTATTCTATATAGATATATTATTGTTATTACAGTTGGATACAATCTCATGACAATTTTCAGATAAATCGTTCACATTTTGGTGTTAATTTTTAATTAGTGACCTAATGTTTTCTGTATGTACAATGAAAGTTGTTTATGGGCTTTGAGCTTTTATTTGGATAAAAAGGTTGCCCACTTTGAAGCTAGCCTAAGCATTACTGGGCTGTCACCACTCTCTAGGAGGGCACATGATATACACTGGTGAAAACGAACCATTTCAAAAACACAGGGGTTGATTAGGAGTAGGACTGGGTATCTTTCTCTTAGCATAAGTAGTTTTTTACACAGCAGATGTGTGAATAAAGATTGCTGGAGATACATTTTTTCATCCTTTTGTGAGAGGGCCTGCTCAGCACCTTTGCATAAAGAAAAAGGTCTTCTTCTTTACCCAGTACTTCCCTTATCGAAAGGCACTGACTTCATTTCCTTGGTTCCTTGGAAATTAATAGTTTCTCATTTTATTAGTCCAATATTCCAGATGTAGTTTATATTTAATTAAGTGTAGTTTCCTTTTGGTGATGGTATGTGTATCTGTTTTTTGTCGTGCATTCTTTCTAGTTTTACAATTTTCCACATGTTTTCCTTCAGCATTTATGATATTTCTTATACTAGAGTTGTGAGGTTCTAAATCACTTAAGCACACAGCATTACAGTCCACATTTAAACAATAAAATGCTGTTAAAGAAAGTCTTCAGATCTTGTATCACTTCATAAATATACATTTATAGAAAAAATTAAAAAAAAACATGATGTGGCCTAAGAGCACACCTGCTAATTAAAAACACATTTCTGAAACTTATTCTTAAACCTGCTTTGTTTGTTCAGTCCTGTGCTTTCCTTCGTACAGATGGCTCTGGTTTTAGTAATTATGCGAATCGAGCAGCTGCTAAATTCAGGACAGCTAATTTTGATCCTGCATTTTAAATTTCAGTTGATTACCTGTGAAGAAATTAGCAAGTTAGCGCTTATTTCAGTAGTAGCCCATTGACCTTGAGAGATCTTTTTTTTCCTCCATTGGTTAAAATGAGTTGACAACATGGACTTGTGGCATTAAGTAGCCACTTTCTGTTTGGCTGTGGTACACTTGCAAGACTTGATATTTTTCATTAGGATCGTTGTCTATCTGATGAGTGATGCTGGGCGTCTGCACACATGCACGTGGTGGTATAATGCAGTGGATTGGAGAGAAATGCAGTTTTTTTGGAACTTTGTTAACATATGGGTTTATGTAGATCTAAGAAGCCTTTGAAGATCTTTGAACTTGACTAAATGGCTTAACCTTTAGCTGGGTGGGTGGGCAAATGTCTGCTGCATTTTTTTTCTTTAGCTGGACTTCTCCCCTTTTTATTACTATTTCCATACAGTACAAACATAAAAATAGAGTAGTTGGAGTTAGTTGACTCAATATAAAAACAAAATTAAGCCTGCTTATTTTACTGTCTGTTACAATAATTTTACCCGTGAAAATCTACTCTATGTACCTGGTCATACTGTTTGAGCAAACGCAAATACCATATAGTTTATCTCTTCTTAGATGGAGGAAACAGCTTGGGAAGTCATTTCAACATCTCTTGTAATTAACAGAATATCATAAATTAAACTTCTGTCCTCTTTATGTTTGAAGAGCACTCGAAAGTGATAAATCCAGATAGTTAACATTTGCATTTCACTCGGTTTGGAAATAACATCTGTTTGCGTGGATAGGGTTATGTTTTGGCAGCTAAAATGAGTCTTTTTTTTTTACCATTTTATGAAAAATTGCTTTTAATTGGATGGTAAAGCTTGTTCATAGGACATGAAATCATTCATTAAGTTTCATGAAGGTGCTTAATGAATTTTCCGTTTTAGATGCTGTTTGTAACAAAAGCTGGGTTATAACAGTGATAAAACGGTCTATCTTCTTGCCAGTCTTACCTAGTGTTACTTTTCCTGTGACTTTCCTTCCAATTTTGTTGTGCTACTTTGTATTCATGTGTGCTGCTTTCTGTTTCACTACTCTTCTGCATTTTAATTTTTTAGTGACAGTTATTTCTATATATGTAGACAACATACAGTATATACTCTAGATGTTGTGTATGCTTTGTATGGCATAAATGGGTACGAAAGAAAAACTGAATGCTTAAGTTAAAAAAAACTAAGTTTGGTTTTTCACTGGTATTTTCTAAGAGGCATTTTTCTTTTCTCACCATGCAGTGAAAAGAAGTATTAGACCACACAAAGTGAATCTACATTTTATCAATGGAGTTTTGTGTTTGCATCATGTAATGACATAGTATTTTTTTATATTTGCAGTAATACGTCTTAAGGTGGTGTGCATTTAACATTTCACCAGGAACAGGAAAATAATGATAATAATAGACTACCTTTTTTGAAGACTTTCTTAAGCTTTACTAAAAATCTAAATAAACACAAGCATGAGGATAAGGGACTCATTGTTAACAAGCACCGCAAATGTGCTGCTTGTGGGGAAAAGGCAGTTACAGCAGTAGAAGTAGGGAAATTAGCATGGTTTGTATTCCAGAAGGTACACAACATTGAGGTTTTTTTCTGTTTCCATTGCTAGTGGTGTCATATAGCTACCATTAATGTACAATTTTCAATGAAAACGTGTTAGCCGAAATATAATATAGAAAGATAACAATGATGCACAAGCCACCTTCACGCCCAGTGATATAATTATCTAAATAGGTTCTGGTTAGGGATCATATCCTTGCATGTGGGGGGTCAGTAGAGATAAGCTGGTGTCTACACTAACATAGCAGTAATTACTTTATTGATAATACACTGAGAAAATTGCCCTAGCCAATGGCTCTAGGAAGATTTAATGGATTGGCTGAAAAATGGTTATCCCTTAATAGAAATGAAAATATGTGTCGGCCATAGGGAGACATTCCCTTAAGAGATAAAGAAATGTTAAATAGAAATATAGAAAACTGTTTATCTTTTCTCTTTGCATTAACAAATTTACTCCAGCCTTAAATTAGCTAATAATTCTCTAAGGAGAAAGTTTCAGTAATGAAATTGACAGTTAACTGCATTCCCACACTCTATTAACACTGTAAATTTAATTTATTACAGACCCAGGAGTGTACTTGCTTAAAAACCTAAACAAATTTAAAATTTATTAGGCCTGCTTGGTCCTATACAGTTGTGCAATGCTAAAGAGAGCTTATTTTGTATATTACCATATGCATGTCAATCCAAATTTCAGTACAAATGTATTATTTCATGCATCAAAGTGTAAGGTTTGACCTTATGACGAGAGAAAACTTACTTCATGTAAACGTCGAATTTTTTTTCTTGCTATTTTTTTAAAACAGTCAAATCTGTTCGAACCGCCTGTTTTATATGCCAATATATGCTTGATTCAGCCAAGTCTTTTGAAAAGAATGTGCATTTTATGTTATGTATTTATGATAGCATTGTACAGTATATTTCAGCTATTTGTGGTTCATTACAGCAGACATCCAGTGGTAAACTGGAAAATCACGGCTGTCATCTCCTCTCATTTGTCTCATGGTGATATTTGTGAAAAGTATGCACATTTTTGACACCATCCAACCCTACAGAAATTCTCTACGAAAATGTTCTTTATTCGGTCATTTGAATGCATTGTTTGTTCGGGTTTACACTTTCCTTTTTGCTCTCTTTATGCATTATGCTGCTACTTTACAGCAGCTGCCTCAAAGGAGCATATCTGACCCGATTGTGATGGGCATCATCAGAGCTTGAGGAGCCCTGGGCTCCATGGAACTTCTTAAGCCCTCCAATGCCTGCTACCTGTCAGTAGGGAGCCTCAGCAGCTGGCAGGAGATATGTTTCTCAACAAGCCTAGAAATGCCCAGACCTGCACCTCCACCTTTCCAAACCCCAGGGGGCACAGACAGTGGAATGGTTGAGTCAGCACTGTTGAGTCAGCACTTCAAGTTTACAGTCCTTCTCCAGATCCAGGTGTAATTCCAATCTGGGCTCCTTCTGACTGGCAAGAGTAAAGGGGCACTGCCTGCAGCCCGGGTACAGTGAAGTACCTTCTTCATGTGACAAACATGTTGCTTTAAATCCTCACCTAAGCCATGACCTTTCACACCCCAGTCATTGTGACGTAGTCAGACCCGGACGTAGTACTGAACTGAGACAAATACTGAACTGCATTTCATCCAGGTAAATAGGTCAGCAGGTATGTCTGCACTCATTGGCTCTACCTCATTCCTGAAGTTATTTTACAGCCAATAAAGACAGACCTGGCTTTTAACCCTCAAATATTGTTTTAAACCATCGAAAGGCTTTTTTTGTGTTTTGATAACTGACAAAGTGATAAACCACCAGTTTTTGTGGAAGACTCCGTGTCTGTCATGAAATTAAATCAGTTGTCGATACTGTTTATGTTTTACTTCATGTAAGGAGTTAGGGATACATATCAGTAAGTGTTTGTAAGCTTCCCTGTGTGGGCAGCTCTGAATGATTTTTGAAGATGCAAGTCCATTTTCGTTGAGCTCTAGATCTGAGCAACTGCACTCCTGGAAGTTCACGGTACAGTCACTTCTGCTCTGGCCTGTATTGCATCTCGCTGTGCCGTGGTCTCAGGCATGCCGGGTCACTGTCCGTTCAGCGGTGAGGGATATGAACTCGCAGGTGAAAAAGAAAGTCGAGCGAAGAGCTCTTCCCGGGCTCTCGGGCTGTCTGCCAGGCCCCGATGTCACGTGGCGTCTGTCCCCCCAGGTCGCGCTCGCGCCATCGCCGCTCCCGAAGCCGCAGCAGCGGGAAGTCCAGCCGCAGGAGGAGCCGCAGCCACAGCAAGCCCCGGGACCGGAGCCGGCGGAAAAACAAGGACAAGGAGAAAGGCAGAGACCGGGAGAGGGACCGAGCCAAGGAGAAGGAGCTGCCGCCTGACAGACCAGGGTGAGCGATTGTTCCGTCACCTTGCCCAGCTTGTGTGAGCACAACCCGTTCCTGGGGAAAAGGAAAGACTCGTTTCTCCCCTGTTTTGTTTTTTTTCTGTGTGTAAGAGTAACCCAGCGCAACATCATGAAAGTTTTCTCCTCCTTTAGGTTTCTGTCTTTCAACAGGCACATTATTTGCGAGTCCAGATCGAGCGTGCTCGGGGCTTTGCTGTAGCACTTTGTGCTTCCCTCTGCACTTCTTCACATCACTACCGCCCGACACGCTGCTCTTCTCAGTGTTGGCAGTGAGGGCGCCACTCCGTGACAGACTTACTTTTTGTTGGGGAATGAGTAAAATTATATTAGCCCCTCACTGTGCTTTGGTTCAAAACTTTTTTTGGGGGGGCTGTATTACGTTTTAGATGCGTATCAGCCATGTAAATAAAAAGGGACCCACTGCATATCTTTACACATTTTCCTTTACATTAGGTCTTTCATTTCCTTAGTGCAGTGATGGCAATCACTTTTCTCTTCAGACCTTATGCACTAGAGTAAATGGTTAGTGATGTCAGAATTGCCACTTTGTTTCTCTTTGATTGAGGCATTGTGTAAATTCTTCCTGTGAGACTTTTAAATAGATAGTCCAACCACCACTGAATAGGGTGTTTTGGGAGAAGGAGAAATGCTGTCTTATATGCACAGCCTTCTTATACAAGTTGGAGGAAAAAAACACTCCACCTTTGGTTTTTTTGGTTAATATATGTTTTGTGTTGTTTTATTAGCGATTATATTCCTATTTCATAGAATAAGTCAAGGATGGAACTCGCCTTGAAAGCTAATAACATATGTTGCATGCTTTGGGGAAAAAAAGCACCGAACGTCATGATGATTCTGGCTTTAGCGGAGTCCTGTGTGCAGTCGCATGTCCAACATCTGTGAAAAGTTTTTTGCTTTTTTTTTCAGTTTTATTTGAATACATTCCGTTTTTCTTTCCTGGAGGACAGGTTTAATTTCATTATTTCTTCTTCCATACAGTTAGCCGTACAGGGTAGTATAATACCCTGCTGGGAAATAATTACGTGATATCCTCAGGAACAGCATAGCAGTTAGTTTAGTCCACTTTCACTTTAGTGCACATCATGTTTTCCACAGGTTGAGTGTTATAATTACTATAAAATCTACAAAGGGTGAATGCTTAAGTGGAGTCATGGTTATAATTAACCTTTTTTAATCAATTTAAACTAAAACAATTAGTATAAACCAATAAAGTGGTAATGCCCAGCACTGTACAGGGAACACAAGTAGAAAGCCTATTTAGCGATCTTTGTTATAACCAGGATTAATGCACAAGGTGCTGACATAGCTTTTCATTTGTTTGACACAAGAGTCCAAACCTGTGCGCATGATTTACATTGATGTCTTGTGTTTCTTAGCAGAACAGGAACATGAAATGTGATTTAAACAAGGTTGGTGTCCCTCATATTGATAGGGAAACTCAGCACAGAAAAGGGTCACATTTGTGTAGAAAAGCTTATTGATTTACAGCTTAAGAGATACTGGAAAAGTTAAATCTGTGTTGAATGAAACTTTCCACTGTTGCAGCAAACAGTTCTCTTTGAAAATTGGGAATTATCCTTTGTTTAATAGATGTCACAACTATCATCTACCTTTGTTCATAATAAGTATGTTGTTGTTTCTCTTTGATAGTGTAAATCAAATATTAATCTGCCCACAACTCATAACTTCCCCAGTATGTGATCTAAGCCTGATCCCAGAGTGGTTTGAGCCATTAAAATATTTTCATTGAATTTAATAATTGCAGCCACATGAGCTTAACTTGAAACACACAACACCTTTTATAAGTCTCATTTTCAATTAAAAGTGATGATACATCCTGGAAAAGCACATTGATCAGTGTAGTTTAAGGTGACAGAAAAATTAGGAAAAATGTATTGGATGGTGTAAACATGTGTATGTAGCAGATTCAACTCATCATTTAATTGGATCTGCAGTTCAATAAAGATAATTGTATTTGCATTTAATTTATTTCTATTTTAATGAATGTTTATTTTATGTAGCTGAATATTTAAGAAATCATTCAGGGTTGTCATACTGGGACAACACTTAACAAGTAAATTCTAGATTTCAGTCTTCTTTTCATCTAGAAAAACACATATGTACTCTTCCTGAAGGCCCCTGTTGTGTTAAAGAGTGCATTATCCTGATGTGCCCAAGGTACTGACTGGCATCTTCTGAAGAAAGTGAGATTATAATAACTGTTCTTTGCACTTGAGAAATGTATTCAATGATTTCTAATTTAAGGAAACTGAGATGAACAGAAGACCTTGTCTTTGTATTTATAGCTCCTTTCTAATCTACTCGAAAGGCATTGCAGTAGTGCTTGGCCACATGTTTAAACCCATTAGTTAAGCATTTATGTGATGAGGAGTCAACTTTTCTGCAAAGGTGAGTCAATCAAAGGTTAAAGGGAAGCTTTTAATGTATCTGTATGCATCAGTGTTGTAATATCTGTTGAGACCAAATAGGATAAGATGCCTGCTTTTGGTTATTCTGTTTTACATTGCTTTCAGAAGAGCTTTATTCCTAAAAGGGTTAGGAAAAGGCTTAAAAACTAAACTGTATACATCAGCTGCTTGTGTTCTGACAGTCAGATCAAAGCCGGTGCAAAACAGTTTCTGGCTGACGGTGATTGCTGTCATGGTTCTGGGACTTTTGGTGACTGGTCGTGTTGCAATTTGTCTGCCACTTGGATAAATACATTGCATGTGAGGCTGAGATGTCAGAGTTTTGGAGTTTGACAGCAATCATACATTCATTGGCTGTCGTTTTCTATTCTCCTTTTCTTCTCCTTGCAGCAGGAAGTCATTATGCTAATATCACCTTATTTGCATACAGGTTACAGAGTTCTGCGGCATGAAGCATGCTCTGAACCCCTTTAAAGTGTCTGGTTAGATCAAAGCAAGTCTGTATGATAGCTGTTGTCTGACACCAAGCTGTGTGGTGTTGTTTTCATTAAACATTTATCACACTTCTAGTATGACAGCAGGCAACTTTGTGCTTGGTAACATGTTTTCATGCAAAATTTATTGAAAAAGACGAGACATTGTAAAGAGATCTTGTTGCCTTTCACCAATGGCAAAGGGTAAATGTTTGATTGGAAGGAAGGAAGTGTGCCTTTGACACTCCACTACACTTGTTAGACTTGACAAGCGTCACGTGGGAAAAGGGGAGAAAATTTGGAGTGGAATGTTTACTTTCTTGTGGAAGGCAGGCAAGCAAACAAAACATGTTTGGAGTAGCGCTTCAGGATTTATTGTATCAGGCCTCCAGTCTTCACATGAATCCTTTACATGTCTAAAAAAATTCTCTCTGCTTATTGTTTATCTTTCTCTTTACGCATCTGTCTGTTTAAATAGATAAATGAAACTTAATGAAGGAAACATATTCTTCCTAATAGGTCATTTGGAGAAAGGGCAAGTGGTTTTTGTGAATAAATAAATAAACCTTTAGCACAGTAAACTACTGTTAATGCAAGGTTTTGGCAGAGGACCATAAAATGTATTGCAAAGCATTTGGCTTTTAGCAGTTAAGGGCTCCCATCCATGTGTTGCATCTTTAATGATTCACTGTACAATAACTTCCTTTATGACAATTGTTTTAATTGATACAGTGAATCTGCTGCAGTTATCAATTGGGAGTTTTACGTCGAATATCGAGTCAAGCCGAACTGCATTCTGAAAGCAGGATTTAATGCAGTCCAACCTTTAATCGCTGTTTCACAGATGCAGTGCCGTAGATATTTATTTTGACAAAATGCCTTCATTGGTTATTTTGGTTGGTTCATTGTTTCTGAAAAAAAGCTTTGATCTTAAACTTCGTGCTTTGTATCATACCTGGAGAATGAGTGTTGTGTTGAACTGTGGATGCTCTGCGGCAAGGTGTTTTCTTCAAGTGATCTTTTGTATTGAAAATTATTGTGCATGTGGTATTTAAAAAGAAAAGTTTTGGGGGCACAGTATTTGAAAAGGGGGTGAGCAAGCCAATGATTCACACTCAGGTGAAGCCCCTCTCCTCTCCTCTGCAGTTTTCTGCAGGGCGTTTTAGATTTCAGTCGGCGCTCCTCAGTTGCAGACCCTGCCTCACCTCGATCAGTGAGAGATTTATGTAAAGCACAGATTGTTTTTTTTTGCAATCCATGCAGATCAGCTGTGATACTCTTATCTTTCAAACATCTAACAGCTTATTATAGCAAATAATAGACAGAGGAATGCGATTGCCCACTAGCCATCATTTGTTTTGATTGTGCTGTATGAAAACTCCATTCTCAGATTGCAGGACTTTAGGCAGTGTCTGGAAATACTTCAAACATGCATTGGGTAGATTGCCTTGTACTGAATTAAATCAATGAACTTTAAGTATCTGTGGTTTGTGGAATATAGCAATATTGTGGCCGCAAGCATTTTTGGATAGCAGTAACGGGAAACAACTCCCTTCAGGTTCATTTAATTACGTATTGCATGCTTACACATGATTACTTCTTCCTAATGCAAAACATTAGGGAATGAACCCCAACTTCAGTGGTGTGGGCTGTCTCTGATGTGCCATAACTGTTTCATACACAAATCCCTGTTGCTCTTTTTAATTTTAAAGAGATCTGTCTGAAAATTGTACATGCTTTGCTGCCTTGGGGCAAACGTGTAATTTAGTGTATTTTTTCTGATGATGAATGAATGCAAAAAGCACAAAACAAAACATTTAGATAGGAGTAGAGACAGAGACCAGTTTTCTTTAATCTGTCACAGAGTTTCTTCATTAAGGAGCTTTGCACTTTATACAGCTCACCAGTGCTCTTTGTTGTCAGTATATTTAAACCCTACTCCTAAAAATGAGATTTTAATCTAAGTGATTTTAAGTGCGAAAACACCTTATTGGGTGAGTAATTTTGTTTCTTGACAATAATGTGGCAGCTTTATGAGAAAACAAAGCCTTTTGGAATAT